AGTGATCTCCTTTGGCCAATATACTCACTAATACAATGTGCCCAACCCAGTGATCTCCTTTGACCAATATACTTACTTATACAATGTGCCCGACCCAGTGGTCTCCTTTGGCCATTATACTTGCTAATACAATGTGTATCGACCGAGTGATCTCCTTTGACCAATATACTTACCAATACAATGAGCCCAACCCAGTGATCTCCTTTGGCCAATATACTTACTTATACAATGTTCCCGACCCAGTGGTCTCCTTTGGCCAATATACTTACTAATACAATGTGTAACGACCGAGTGATCACCTTTGGACAATATACTTACTAATACAATGTGTATCGACCGAGCGATCTCCTTTGGACAATATACTTACTAATACAATGTGTATCGATCGAGTGATCTCCTTTGGACAATATTCTTACCAATACAATGTGCCCGACCCAGTGATCTCCATTGGCCATTATGCTTACCAATACAATGTGCCGACACAGCGATCTCCTTTGGCCAATATACTTACTAATACAATGTGTATCGACCGAGTGATCTCCTTTGGACAATATACTTACTAATACAATGTGTATCGATCGAGTGATCTCCTTTGGACAATCTTCTTACCAATACAATGTGCCCGACCCAGTGATCTCCATTGGCCATTATGCTTACCAATACAATGTGCCGACACAGCGATCTCTTTTGGCCAATATACTTACTAATACAATGTGCCCGACACAGTGATCTCCTTTGGCCATTATACTTACTTATACAATGTGCCCGACACAGTGATCTCATTTGGCCATTATACCTACTTATACAATGTGCCCGACCCAGTGGTCTCCTTTGGCCATTATACTTACTAATACAATGTGTATCGACCGAGTGATCTCCTTTGGACAATATACTTACTAATACAATGTGTATCGACCGAGTGATCTCCTTTGGACAATATACTCACTAATACAATGTGTATCGACCGAGTGATCTCCTTTGACCAATATACTTACCAATACAATGTGCCCGACCCAGTGATCTCCTTTGGCCATTATACTTACTAATACAATGTGTATCGACCGAGTGGTCTCCTTTGGACAATATACTTACTAATACAATGTGCCCGACACAGTGATCTCCTTTGGACAATATACTTACTAATACAATGTGCCCGACACAGTGATCTCCTTTGGCCATTATACTTACCTATACAATGTGCCCGACCCAGTGGTCTCCTTTGGCCATTATACTTACTAATACAATGTGTATCGACCGAGTGATCTCCTTAGGACAATATACTCACGAATACAATGTGTATCGACCGAGTGAACTCCGTTGGACAATATACTTACTAATAAAATGTGTATCGACCGAGCGATCTCCTTTGGACAATATACTTACTAATACAATGTGTATCGACCGAGTGAACTCCTTTGGACAATATGCTTACTAATACAATGTGCCCGACACAGTGATCTCCTTTGGACAATATACTAATTAATACAATGTGCCCGACACAGTGATCTCCTTTGGCCATTATACTTACCTATACAATGTGCCCGACCCAGTGGTCTCCTTTGGCCATTATACTTACTAATACAATGTGCCCGACCGAGTGATCTCCTTTGGCCATTATACTTACTAATACAATGTGCCCGACACAGTGATTTCCTTTGGCTATTATACTTACTTATACAATGTGCCCGACCCAGTGGTCTCCTTTGGCCATTATACTTACTAATACAATGTGCCCGACACAGTGATCTCCTTTGGACAATATACTTACTAATACAATGTGTATCGACCGAGTGATCTCCTTTGGCCATTATACTTCCTAATACAATGTGCCCGACACAGTGATTTCCTTTGGCTATTCTACTTACTTATACAATGTGCCCGACCTAGTGGTCTCCTTTGGCCAATATACTTACTAATACAATGTGTATCGACCGCATTGTTAGCCTCTTAACAGGAACAGTTAACGATAAAACATTATTATTCTGTCTGTTTATTTAGTTTTGTTATTCGGAAAATACGTCCAAAAGTCCTGCCTTTGTGAATTGGTTCAAATATTAAATGTAAAAGTGTAAAACATAGCAATGAGCTGTACTTGCTTTAAATCTAACGCCATTGCTCTGTTTATTATTTTCATGAGGATTTCTTATTTCAAATCGAATCTCGTTCATGATATCATATAATAAAACATGTTTTAATATAATATAATATATAAAGAAGCTTATATCAGATATTTTATTTCTTGTACATGACATCGTATGTAACATATAAACTGTATTATATTAAGATATGTTTAAGACTTCTCATTAAAGATCAAAAATACATATATCTATATAAAACTATGTAAGCTATCAGATTAAGTAATTGCGATATCTTCTCGATAATTTAGATTATAATTAAGATTTCATTTAGAATACTGAACTACCTTATTAAGTAGATTGCATATTTCAATTACTTTAAGAAATGCAGCGCCGACAGTGTTCCTTAAATACATGTTATGCTGGTTATCTAAATGCGATGGTGAAGCTAACTTGTGGAGGATCCGTGTGACTCTGACTTTAACCGTGTTATCACTGTCTCGTTACGTTTTTGTAAATTATGATAAATCTGTCTCACGTGTGAGGTACGCTTAGGGAAGAAGTGCTTCCGGTACCCTCTTAGTGGACAGTTTGTCTCTTCAATTATTATCATGTGGTGTTTAAATATCTATCTTTGTAATTTATTAAAATAGATAGGAGTAAGGGAATTTAATTAGAACTCAGTTAGTAGTTTGTGGAAAATGTTTGCCTGTAAGCGAGGCCTCTTATACCGTATGGACTAATTTCTAACGCATTGGTCCGTACTACAAGGAAACGTTTTTTTCGTGCTGTGGTTTGAACTATTTTGAACATGTTGTGAAGAAATAAGGCAAAAGACAAAATAAATGTGCTGATGATGAACTCATGACTAACATTGGAGGAGCACATACTGTGCTACTCTCTCTCCTGAGAAACAGGAAAAACGTATCTCATAAATATGTTAACACGGCGATCGATTACAGAACTTACCCTAAGGTCACTACAGTCAATTCTACATCATCTCATCTCTGTTTTACAAAATGACCATCGAGGAAGACGAACTAAGCTCGCCGATTATGATTTATCATTTCCCTTTGTAATTTACCATTGTTTTATAGTTACATCACTGCCAATTCCGCCTGCAATGTCTTTCTGCCTCACACAAACAGGTTCTTGTCGAGGCCTTGTTTTCCTTCCTCTACAGACATGAAGACATTTTTCAATAGCGACCTTTCCTTTTCACATAAATATCATGCCCCTTGTCAGTTGCCCCCCTACCCGTACAGATGTGATGTCAATTATCAATGTCTGTCCTTCTCCAACATCATGTGGGCTTTTAATTGTGTTCATGGGTTGTATGTTTTCAGGTGTCACTCACTATATACTTACTAGCATAAGCAATTAAGCGAAATGACGTTAAAACACATTTGTAAACGTTACTAGATAAAACGATTAATATGAACATGCAACCATGGATCGGGGGAGAAGTAATCTCCTCACAGATAGAGATAGAACGTGGGGAAAGCTGTCAGTCTTTGTCAAGTGAATGTTTGTCTTAGATTAAAATAACTATAGCTATAGCATGACCATGACGTAACTACTCTTTATTTATTTAAAGATAAAGTATTGACAGAAAACAATTACGGACTTCGTAAATCCCTGGAGGTTTGATTTCGAAAAGGCCATTTAACAATTGCATAATGCATATTTCTCTGTCTCGTGTTATTGACAGGACATACTTTTTGAGATACGTGAGCTATGTCTGATTTCAATCGATTACATGTTGGTTACACACTTGCCTACTAAACAGAAAAAAGCAGCCACCAATTAAATTCATATTTAGAATCCCAGCTATTGTATTTTTGTTCTGCGTGATTTACAGAAGACAGAAGAGACTGACATTCAGTTTATGGATATCTCGCTCCTCAAATAAACCACTATAATGATGTCAATATACCATAACTATCTCTTTGTCATATTAAGATATATTAACTGACCCAATCACACGTCCATCTACATACTAATGTGTGTGTTTGCAGTGATATTGTCACTGTTAAAGCAATTGACAAGAGCGCTCTTTAGGTTAATACTCTGTTCCAGAAACTCATGCTGGTTATTATAGAAAGTTGTCCTGCTCTCGTTATGTTCATTTGTCTTTTACAAACAGCAGTAAAATCGTATAATGATGACAAAGGGGTTTGTGTACCGTTCATTTGCACTCATTTACGCAACGTCTCTCAAAGCACTATGCCAAATTGTTTTTTTGTTCAGAAATTATAAATCCAAAATGTACTCATTACTGTGTCAGAGTGAATTAAAAGTCCTCATAGATAGGGACCGACTAGTCACTAGGAAGCTCAGAACACTTTCCTCATTCTTCTATACATTTGAAATATTAAACATAATTATATCATTCGCTTGAACTATTTCAAACATTGTCTAATTTTCTATTAAATACCAAAGTGTGTGTGTAAACATTATTTCATGTATAAATTGTCTTTTAGCAAATAAATCTTTGTACAAAGACGTATATCAATTGCTATAGTTACAAGCCTCTCACACGAAGGTAATCGACCTTAGCAACTTGACAAAACGTGGCACAGTCGCAAGAAACAACCTTTGCAACAGGTCACGTGACTTTTTTTTAATTTCTTAAATTTATCATTTGTGGTCTCTTTTAAATTGCGAAAAAAAAATCGAGTTAGACAGTATTCGTTAATACGAATAACGAATATCTGTCGAACTTTACTTTGCTGCAAACAAATAAGGTACTCCTCAGATTGAAAGTGATTATGTGAGATTTGACAAAGTTATTTTTTACTTAGCACTCTCACCCAAACATATCGCTTATTAACATTGTAAAATCCCCAAACCGCTTAGACCACCATTTCTTATGTTATCAATTAACTTTGATTTAAAGATATATTAATGTTATGAAGTACTCACCACTCTTTGACTTGATAAAGTCCCTGTCACACTCAATTACTCACGGAAAGTTCCCGTCAAAATTAAGCAAGCTTAGAAACGTTCCTGTCACAGTCGAGCACGCCTCAAAAAGCTTCCGTTTTGATGAAACATAGTCGGAAATATCACTGTTAATATTGAACACACATTGGTTTAAAAAGATGCCTCGAACACGTATTGGCCAAAACACTTAAAATGAAACACTGTTTGGAAAATTTTGTAAACTTAGCAGACATGCTGTATTTAACTAGCATTCGGCGCCATCCCTGTTTCCTTTTCTACTTCCGCCAAGTCAACACTAGTTCCTGTCGACACTACATGTTATTGGTTGGCAGTCTAAGCTGTCTTGAAGTTCCCGTTACTATCTACACGAGACTGTAAAATACTCAACATGCTTGAGTTATATCATGGAAAAAAGTCGTAATACTCAGGTATAATGGACGATTCTGCCACAGGGATTGCCCGTATTATTCACAAATGTTTACACGACTGGCCAGTGCGTTTGAGTACGTCAATGTTAGTTTCGTTTACGTCAATAATATTTTTTATAACGGTAATTACAGAATAGTTCTTTTATGTCGACAACATCTAGACGTTAAGACGTAGGTTATATAACGTGACAACATGTTCAATTACGTCAGTGGTAGATTTTATTGTCTACATTAATAGTTCTATTTTGTCTTCGACACTGTATAACGTCAAAAGCTGTGTCGAATATGTCTACAAAAAACCAGTTTCTATTGTGTCAAAGATAGGTTGTGTTACGTCAAAGACAGGTTATATTACGTCAAAGACAGGTTCTATAACGTCATAGATAGGTTATATAACGTCAATGATAAGTACTATAACGTCAAAAACAGCTTCTATAACGTCATAGATAGGCTATATAACGTCAATGATAAGTACTATAACGTCAAAAACAGGTTCTATAACGTCAAAGACAGGTTCTATTACGTCAATGACAGGTTCTATAACGTCAAAGACAGGTTCTATAACGTTAATGACAGGTTCTATTACGTCCATGACAGGTTCTATAACTTTAATGGCAGGTTATATAACGGCAGTTCTATTACGTCAATGAAAGGTTCTATAACGTCAAAGACAAGTTATATAACGTCAAAGACAGGTTATATACACGTCAACAACAGGTTCTATTACGTCAATGACAGGTTCTATAACGTTAAAGACAGGTTCTATAACGTTAATGACAGGTTCTATTACGTCAATGACAGGTTCTATAACGTTAAAGACAGGTTCTTTAACGTCAATGACAGGTTGTATAACGTTAAAGACAGGTTTTTTAACGTCAATGACCGGTTTTATTATGTCAATGACAGGTTCTATAACGTCAATGACAGGTTTTATAACGTTAAAGACAGGTTCTATAACGTCAATGACAGGTTGTATTACGTCAATGACAGGTTCTATAACGTCAAAGACAGGTTCTATAACGTCAAAGACAGGTTCTATAACGTCAATGACAGGTTGTATTACGTCAATGACAGGTTCTATAACGTCAATGATCAGTTCTATAACGTCAAAGACAGGTTGTATAACGTCCAAGACAGGTTCTATAACGTCCAAGACAGGTTCTATAACGTCAAAGACAGGTTCTATAACGTTAAAGACAGGTTCTATAACGTCAATGACAGGTTGTATTACGTCAATGACAGGTTCTATAACGTCAAAGACAGGTTCTATAACGTCAAAGACAGGTTCTATAACGTTAAAGACAGGTTCTATAACGTCAATGACAGGTTGTATTACGTCAATGACAGGTTCTATAACGTCAAAGACAGGTTCTATAACGTCAAAGACAGGTTCTATAACGTCAAAGACAGGTTCTATAACGTCAATGACAGGTTGTATTACGTCAATGACAGGTTCTATAACGTCAATGATCAGTTCTATAACGTCAAAGACAGGTTGTATAACGTCCAAGACAGGTTCTATAACGTCCAAGACAGGTTCTATAACGTCAAAGACAGGTTCTATAACGTTAAAGACAGGTTCTATAACGTCAATGACAGGTTGTATTACGTCAATGACAGGTTCTATAACGTCAAAGACAGGTTCTATAACGTCAAAGACAGGTTCTATAACGTCAAAGACAGGTTCTATAACGTCAATGACAGGTTGTATTACGTCAATGACAGGTTCTATAACGTCAATGATCAGTTCTATAACGTCAAAGACAGGTTGTATAACGTCCAAGACAGGTTCTATAACGTCCAAGACAGGTTCTATAACGTCCAAGACAGGTTCTATAACGTCAAAGACAGGTTCTATAACGTCAATGACAGGTTGTATTACGTCAATGACAGGTTCTATAACGTCAATGATCAGTTCTATAACGTCAAAGACAGGTTGTATAACGTCCAAGACAGGTTCTATAACGTCCAAGACAGGTTCTATAACGTCCAAGACAGGTTCTATAACGTCAAAGACAGGTTCTATAACGTCAATGACAGGTTGTATTACGTCAATGACAGGTTCTATAACGTCAATGATCAGTTCTATAACGTCAAAGACAGGTTGTATAACGTCCAAGACAGGTTCTATAACGTCCAAGACAGGTTCTATAACGTCCAAGACAGGTTCTATAACGTTAAAGACAGGTTCTATAACGTCAATGACAGGTTGTATTACGTCAATGACAGGTTCTATAACGTCAAAGACAGGTTCTATAACGTCAAAGACAGGTTCTATAACGTCAATGACAGGTTGTATTACGTCAATGACAGGTTGTATAACGTCAATGACAGGTTGTATAACGTCCAAGACAGGTTCTATAACGTCCAAGACAGGTTCTATAACGTCCAAGACAGGTTCTATAACGTCAAAGACAGGTTCTATAACGTCAATGACAGGTTGTATTACGTCAATGACAGGTTCTATAACGTCAATGATCAGTTCTATAACGTCAAAGACAGGTTGTATAACGTCCAAGACAGGTTCTATAACGTCCAAGACAGGTTCTATAACGTCAAAGACAGGTTCTATAACGTTAAAGACAGGTTCTATAACGTCAATGACAGGTTGTATTACGTCAATGACAGGTTCTATAACGTCAAAGACAGGTTCTATAACGTCAAAGACAGGTTCTATAACGTCAATGACAGGTTCTATAACGTTAAAGACAGGTTCTATAACGTCAATGACAGGTTCTATAACGTCAATGACAGGTTCTATAACGTCAATGACAGGTTGTATTACGTCAATGACAGGTTCTATAACGTCAAAGACAAGTTATATAACGTCAAAGACAGGTTATATACACATCAAAGACAGGTTCTATAACGTCAATGACAGGTTGTATAACGTCAATGACAGGTTCTATAACGTCAATGACAGGTTGTATTACGTCAATGACAGGTTCTATAACGTCAATGATCAGTTCTATAACGTCAAAGACAGGTTCTATAACGTCAAAGACGGGTTATATTACGTCAGTGATAAGTTCATTTTATCACTTCCACAACATGTTCAACGTGTATTACGTCAATGACAGAGTCAGATACGTTAATGACAGTTCCATTACCTAAGTGATAGTTTAACTGAAGTCATGACGGGATCTATTATGTCAAAGACACGTGATTAAACATCAACAACAAGTACTACTGCATTAATGACATTTTCTGTTACGTTATTAACATATTTATTTACGTCAATGACAGATTTTTCAACGTTCATGTGAAGTTCTGTCACGCCAATGACGGGTTTTAACTTCAATTATAGATCATATATTGTCATCGACTCATTCTATTACGTCGAGGACAGACGTTCTTATAGTATTATGATACTGTTTCTTAAATTGCATGTTATTGTTCGTCATCAGCAGGTTCTAAGAAATCCTTTCTTCGATGGCAGGTTATATATCATGGATAATAGAGTTTTATAATGTTCACGCACGCCCCTCGGACTGTCCAATATTTTACATAATAGACAGTTTTTGGCTTATATCTTACTATATTTACATTTGCATGGCATTGTCACTATATAGCCTCTTTGAAAGCTGTGTCATTGATGGGACTTTAATTACCATGCATCACGAGACACAATTCTTAGCGTATTAATACAACACTGACCGGAACTACAATATCCAATATAAATAAACATGACGGCTTCTGAAATATCGCTGGGCATTGTGAGATTTGACAATGTCATTGTAAATTCATGTGCAAAATAAAAAAATAAAATAAAAATAAAACACTTTTATTACAACGAAAACAAGACCAATATCTGCAATATCGTACAAAATGCACATCGGTTGAAATCACCAATGCCGGTAATGGATGACATCACAGTAGTGTTTTAAGTCAGGTTCTATTCACGAAGGCAGATTTAAGTACCTCAAAGAAATTCTATTACATCACCTTACGTTTCTATGACGCCAACTGACATGTTTTATTACGTCAAATGATAGGCCCTATTACGTCAATGCCAATTTCGGAAACTTCCGGAACGTAAGAAATCCGCTGATTTTTTCTGGGGGTTTTACCCATTCGCTTTAGCTGTTTCACTTTGGTTTCTCACAAATTAGGGAGCCCCAGTAGGATAAAAGGCCCCAGATGTCTCGTTCAGTTCCCGTAGGTTAAGGAACCCCAGATGTCTCGTTCAGTTCCCCGTAAGTTAAGGAGCCCCAGATGTCTCGTCAATTCTTCGTAAGTTAAGCAGCCTCAGATGTCTCGTTCAGTTCCCCGTAAGTTAAGCAGCCCCAGATGTCTCGTTCAGTTCCCGTAGGTTAAGGAGCCCCAGATGTCTCGTTCAATTCTTCGTAAGTTAAGCAGCCTCAGATGTCTCGCTCATTTCCCCGTAGGTTAAGCAGCACCAGATGTCTCGTTCAGATCCCGTAGGTTAAGGAGCCCCAGATGTCTCGTTCAATTCTTCGTTAGTTAAGCAGCCTCAGATGTCTCGCTCATTTCCCCGTAGGTTAAGCAGCACCAGATGTCTCGTTCAGTTCCCGTAGGTTAAGGAGACCCAGATATCTCGCTCAGTTCCCGTGGGTTAAGAAGCCCCAGATATCTCGTTCAGTTCCCGTAGGTTAAGGAGCCCCAAATGTATCGTTA